CAATAATGAATCAATTAAACTAATTTCATGATCCCAAACCAAACCAATTCACTTTTTTTCAATTCAATATTGTTTTTCTCATATTCACCACTTCAAACAGAATCATTAAAAAGTGAACAACCAATCCAAACTTGAATTAATCATATTAACAGGATCAACATTAATCCTGCTGGACAATATCCTAGCTAATGTCCATGCGTAACACAAAATAAAGATATCCAATTAGAAAAAAAATAATAGGTAAGTGACAAAATAAATACGGTAAGATAGATAAAACCTTTATAAACTCATATTTTAACTCATGAAATAGGCTTACAAAGACCATCCAATGCAAACTTTCAAAATTGAAGTTCATGATAGAATTAGAGAAATAGGCTAGTTACCTATTTTTTTACACCTATTCGTGAACTATTTGAATAACTACAACTCATTAACCATTCATTCATTACCTTCAAACCATTTCATTCTGCCTTTAATCTCAACCTGAAATGAACTAAAAATAACTTTAAAATTATAAACAATATTGGTTACCAATAAAATAGTCGGTTCTACTAAATTGATTCTTCAAAACATGTTATTATGTTAACTGCTCCTTAAATTTTCTACTCCTGCAATAAAAGAATTTCAATGAAGTTAAATACACAACCTTTTATCAAACATGACACTTTTATCACTCAATACAAAATCAGGGAAGAATCACTTATAATAAAAGTGAGAATCACCTTCTAAAATGAACACTTAATCCAATAGCAACAACATCCATCATTTTGATCCTATTATTTAAAACATAAAGATTGTGATGAACCAACAAAGATAGCCATTAAGCAAAAGATACCTAGTTAACAATATTTAAGTAATTAACTAAAAAAATTATAGAAAGGAAAAGTGATAAAACATAGCAAAGTAGTCGTATGATAAAAAAGCAATGAGCTGGATTTAAAAAAAAATTGGATTTATATGATGCAACTATCCAAAATTAAACTACCAACTAAAAATTCCCTTTTCACATACCTAGTGTGAAAAATGTTGCACTTATGAAGAAGCTTTGAAGGGATAGTGAACTAAGGCTGGGGATAATGAACTAAGGATGGGGACCGTGGGATTGCAATACAATCACAGGCAAATATCACAACATCTATAATATAAAAAGACTATACAACTTAAAAAATATATTATTTACTTTTGAGATTGTTGTGTAGAGATATAAAACACATACAGATGTAAAAATATAACAGTGAAAACACTATATAACACACTGTGTGTGGAGTTTTTGGATCATCATAGGTGGGATTCTTGGTCTTGGAAGCTACTATTTCCACTGTCTCTTGTAAATTGACTTGCCTGTACAATTTTTCTCATTGTTTTGTCGAGAAGCATTGTCGAAGTGACATACGCCACCATTCTCAAATTGTTTAGTATTTGCTATTCCAAGTGGAGATTTATAGGGGTTGGCATTCGGGATCCTTAAAATTGAATCCAAAAGAAGAGCAATAGATTACTAACCCAAACAATCAAATAAACTCAATAGGCATAAAAATATGAATGACTATTTTTTATTTGATTTTATTCCATCGATCAATAAACATTAAATTTCAATTGACTCAATTCACAATATAACAAACACTCACAATTGATTCAGTTAGACCAATGATCTATTGTCAATATTATATGAAGTACCATCTCCCATTTAAGTTACCGTAGGTGTGAAAAACTTTTTTTTTGCCCGTTCTTTCTTTGTGGCAAATAGCTTGATAACTCGGTATGCAACTTAATGGACGGGCATGAAATTCAAGTTAATCTTATAAACTGAAGCTTGTTTCTTCTAAGAGCAGAATGGTTCAATAACATTAAATGTCTGTACTGCATCACCAATGAGAGGAAGTATAGATTTTTCTCTCAATATCAAGCATTACCCAGACTGAAACTTCCACTACTGTGGCAGCCACCATGGGCAATGACATGGTGTGGCAGAGGCCGTGGAGACAAAAGACATGGAGGGAAAGTAAGAAGAGATGAATTAACACCCAATTTCAAAACCTTAAATTAACACCCAATTCAAAACCCTAGATTAACATATTAGGTGTGCCGTGATGTGTGTGCGTGTGAGTGTGAGTGCTCTGGGTGGGTGGGGGACTGTGTTTCGTGTGTAGAGAGGGAGGTGAAAGAGAGAGAGAGAGAGAGAGAAGAGAGCTTACCTGGGTCGATGGGGGTGACCGGTGCAGGTTAAGAGGGAAGAGAGAGGTCGCAAAGGAGGAGGCAACAGAGAGAAAAAGAAGAAGAGAGATGTTGGGCCCTTGGGAGTTGTGGACTGTGCAAAAGTTTGGGGGGATAAGTTTTTTGTGTGGGATGCATTCTCAGCCTTTGGATTAACTTGGAATAATGAAGATGAAATGTAGGCTATTAAATTAAAAGTAGATTAAATCTGAGCCGTCCTTTGTCATTTCCTAAATGAATTAAAATTAGATTAAATTTTGAAGTAAAAATGAATTCAAATTGAGTTCTATCTTATTAATATAAATTAAATTTAAATAATTAATAAAAAAATATTAACTTATATTCGATTAATTAAATTTGAGTTTAGATTGAATTAAAATTAAAAATTCGATCCGAAAGCCACCAGTATAGTGAGTTGTCACGATGAGGTAATGAATGCCCCAAAGTTTAAGCGCACATGACAGGTGAGAGGTAATTTGCCGTGGCTAGCTGGCCCACGCCAAGAGAGAGAGAGAGAGAGGTTGCAGTTTTTGCACAAAATCTCCCCAAAAAAGCGGGAAAAGTGGGTGATGGAGTTGTCTACGACGATAAAAACTGGCAACAGCAAATAAAAGGAATAAATTAAGCCACGCTGATGCTGACTCTTGAGAGGGGGACCCCTGTTTGTTGCCACTTTCTTTGTTTGTTTTGCATTACAATTTACAATAACGAGACTAATTAAAAAAGTAGAAGTAATTTTAATCGTAGTTCAAGTGAAAATAAAAATAAAAATAAATTATAAATTTAGACATTATAAATTCAAATTTGGTAGCTCTTAACATCCGACTTGTCATGAATAATTTGCCTTTGACCCAAATACCCTTAAAATAAGGCACATGCTAGGTCCGAGTTATTAATTTACGTAAACACAGAAACGGTACATATGCCTAAGTGCCAAGCGAACTTAGTAATGAAAATCAGAAGGATTGGAGGAGTTTGAAGTCTTATGAAACGCTCAACAACACATTTCTTGACGCAAAAGCGACAGTCACCCGTTTTAGTCGTTAATGATATGGTCAAAGGCCAACATGGGCGATGAATGAGAGATAGATAGCAATCTCCTAGCAGGTACTTTGTTTCGTAACACCTTTATTTATTTATTTTTATTTTTTAATTTAACAGTCAAAGATGTCTAAACCAACTTACATGTACTTTAACTAATCATATCTCTGGTGCGATAAAAAACAAACCATCTATGATAGAACAAGAATATTCACGAGAAATAAATCCTTCATAACTATATTTTTAGTTATTTTGTGACAACTTTCACCAGACCTGGGAAAAGACAAAAACATATTCAAGACAAGCTTATTTAGGCTCTACCAGTAACCTAGGAAATAAAAAAAGGCATAAACTTTTTTTATAAAAAAACTTTCCCATCACGGATGCAAACAAGGTGGAATAATGGCATAATAATATGTCGTTTTATTGGAAGGAAAGATGAGAATGGTTGTTCATTGTTCGATTATTCAATTTGATACTTCTTCTTTAGTGGTCAGTTCAAGCACGCACTTCCCTTGACCGGACTGCATTGAATCCACTTAACGAGCCCTCAATAATGTTATGAGCCCTCAATAATCAATAATGTTATACTGATCAAATTTTGAAATTAAATTAAAATTCAAATGACTTGATAATATATTATTTAAAATTTTTATTAGAACCCAAATGAAAAACACCGAATAAAAAAATTTAAATCAACTGTCATGTCATTTAAATTTTAAATTTAGTCTTAAAATTTGATCAGTGTAACACTACTCACGAGGCTATACAAGCAAAATCCCACGGACTAAAATAATAAGGGTAAAGTGTAGTTGATCCTCGGCTTCAATTTGACTGGTCCCAGTAATACACGTGACGAATAGTCCCTTGTTGCACATTACACTTGACTGGGGTCATAGACGTTGGACAATATGTTAGGTGAGCGTGATTTGGAGACGACTGTGTGAGCCGAATTTCACATTGTAAGCACGAGTCTAAAGAACGAAAAACAGAAAGGATTACTTACAAGTTAAGCCCCGAAAGATAGTTCGAATCTCAATTTAAACTCCCGAAGATCAAAAATCTCAATTTGCACCGTTAAAAATAGAAATTTATATCAATGCGCACCCTCAAAGATAAAAAATCTCAATTTACATCCTCAAAGATAAATATTTGTATCAATGTGCATCAAAAACTAAATTAATAAATTATACCTAAATCCCCTCATGCTTAAATATTTGGACCCCTTCACATTTAAAATATTACTCTTACATCTCATGACGTTTGTACACGTGCAACACGTAACCCATTTTCGTTGATATATGTTAATATAACAGTTAAAAAATATGATCTTATTCTAATAAAAAATTATAATTTTATAATTATACTCTATAATTCAAAATCAAGCTTACTATTTGAATGTTTAATAGAATGTAGATATTTATATAATATTTTTTATATCCAATGCAATATATTACTCAATGTGCAACACTTTATTCTATTAGACATTCAAATGGTAAACTTAATTTTGAACTTTAGAGTATATTAGACCCATAAAATAAAAAATAATATGAAATTATAATTTTTTTATTAGGATAAAATCATATTTTTTAACTATTATATTAACATAAATCAACAAATAAAGGTTACGTGTTACACGTGCACAAACGCCATAAAATATAGGAGTAATATTTTAAATGTGAAAGGATCAAAATAATTAAGTGACAAACATGAAAAAATCTAGATATAATTTATCAATTTAATTTTAAGTGCACATTAATACAAATTTTTATCTTTGAAGGAGCAAATTAAAATTTTTTAATTTTGGAGGTGCACATTAATACAAATTTTTATCTTTAAGGGTGCAAATTAAGATTTTTGATCTTTAGGGGTGCACATTGATGTAAATTTTTATTTTTGAGGGTACAAATTGAAATTCGAACGATCTTTCAGGGTACAATTTACAATTAACCCAAAAAGAAACAGATATATCCTAGGCCAACAAGAAACAGCACAAAGGTAAGACCTCAAGTGCTTCAAACACAATGGAAAAGCACAATGAAAGACCTCAAGTGCTTCAATAAGCTCCATTTGCTTTAGCTTCTTAGTTACAGATCGATTCTTCCTCGTAAGGACCCGTCCCATTGTCCAATGGTAATGCCATCTAAAAATTCAAAACGGAGCTTGATGACAACACCTGTAATGCAGAAAACTATTCACAAATATCCAACCAACAGTCAGATGTGCCGAGTAAAAACTGGGGAAGTTCTCCATAGTTGCGAATATTGTTATTGATTCTGTTGCTTGCTATGATGTCCTATATGCTCCCAATTTGTTGGACGGTCGTGAAGAATTCATATTGAGACATTGCATCAGGATATAATAATAATCATTAGATGCTCCTACGACATAATAGAGGTAATTCACCAGAAGGGTAGAATAGGAGGAATGCTGAACATGGAGAAACTGTCTAACAAAGCGAATTTGCTAGATTCATCTAATATACACACATAAAATGAGATACAAATGTACACATGCCACAAACAACAGATACTTTCACATCACACCAAAAATTTCTGTCCATATCTAAGAATCTGACCACATGCACAAGAATGGATTTACCTCATTCTGCAGACAAATTAACATACTGCCATGGGTTGAACTCTGTGGATCTGACATCATCTGCATCAATGCTATGGGAGCTATCTACAGCAGCCCGATGTTCAGTATATTTTCCATTGTACTGATAGACTTCCAAGTCTCCCCAAGGTGTAGTTGTAATTTCATCAGTCATATCGAACCATCTTGGATTAAACTGATGGCCTTTTGCCTCTTGAGCTCTCTTTTCAGCTCTCTGTCTCTCCTCCAAACTGAGAAGGCATACAAAAATGCCATGCAAACTTCTTAGACCAATACAAACAAATCTAAAAAGACAAAAGTAAATCAACAATTGTTGATTCACATCTTTTTCTTTAAATTGAGTTCATTAGAAAACAAAAAAGAGCATATGATTCTATATTCTTTTTTTAGAGTTCATTTCAAAAGCACATAATGTAGACAAACCAAGCGGATGTGCAAGTATATCCTATCAACAATTCTATAGGAACCAAGAATCTAAATAAGGTTCTTTGGAAGAATTTAACTGCCCAATTGGCCACTGAACAAGAGGCTTCGAAGAATTATGAAAAAATAGCTTAATATTGTGAGTTGCACACTGCAAGCCCTCAAAACTAAAGAAACAGTCCCTCCAAATATGCCTCATGTAAGGCAAATGAAGGCTTACGGAAAACCAACATACGACCAAGAGAATATCCAACAATGCAAATAGAGAAAGCAAAAGCGATAATGAGACCCTGGTAACATGGACACCACAGTGTCAGACTCATTGATTTGTTTACCCCTTTTTCTTCGTTTCAATGGGAAGAAGGGTGACTAAGAAGCTGAAAAGAATTAGAAAAACCATGAATCAATTTGTAAGTTATCCAAAATCAAGGCACTTTCCCTCTATATGCATCTCATAAGCCAAAGAAAGGATAATAAAGCCAACCAACAAATGACCATGAGAAACACCCAGCATATACCAAAAAGGGAGATCAAAAGTCACCATGAAACCCTAAGAAGACTTCCAAATGTCTCAGCTTCATTGATTATTCAACCTCCTTTTTATGGGGTTTAAAGGGAGAGCAGGAAACAAAATGTAAAAAGAGGGCTTCCCAAACCCTCTCCCCCATAATTTGATTGTTATATAAATACTTATCTAAATAGCATGCCCAGGGCCAGAGCTCAGGAGAAGAACTCATGAGTCTTACAATGAAAGTTTTCCAGTAATATATTGCCCTCTGGTAACTTGCTCACAGCTAGCACAAAGTAATAATGTTCACAACACCAGTAATATGTATGGTCATCCATCTGAACATTAATATTTTAAAGAAAAACCACTGATGCATGACAAAAGTGTCTGTGCATGTGGGCGAGAGAGAGAGAGAGAGAGGACCTGCTCTTCTCAGCACCAGCTTTTGATAGATCACCTTTCTCAAGTGCATATCTATCAGGACGCAAACGAGAATCTGATGCCAACAATTTCCTAGGAGCAGTGTCAATGCTGTTTATTTTATGTGCAAAATATGTATACTGAAATTTGTCATTTTCTGGGGTAGCAGCAACTCGCCAAACCTGCACAAAAGTCGCCAGTAACTTACATATTATCATCTCAAACACCAGCCAAGCCAAAATTAGCAGCCAGATAAGGATCAAAATTTTGTTTCGGTGAATTGTTTCAGTCACCTGAGAAATAAAAATGTTTCGACAATGTTTCAAAAACATTTCAGAAATACAATAGAAACGGATAAAAAATTTGGTATTTTGAAACACCTCGAAATATACCGAGAAAAAGGTGGAACATGACGAAACATCTTGAAATACCTTGAAACATTCCGAAACACCTTGAAGCATTGAAACGCCACTTACATCATTGATTTATTTTGGTCTCCTTAAAAAATGGAAACATTTCAGCCGTTTCGAAACTTTGATCATTGTTTCTTCATCGCAAACAATTATAGCACACCAAATCTTTACTTCTTAACAAGTTACTGGATAATGTAAAATCATTCACACCCAGTGGGTACAGGAACAGTGTGCAAAAATCAACAAGACTAACCCCCTAACGTCTGAAGACAGAATTCGGCAAATCAACATTCAACACATCTGATGACCAGAAAAGATTTTCTTGCTTGTCATCCAAATATGGAAGCTGTCAAAGGCAGCTTCTGTGCACTACAATGATGCATGTGTTTAGTGGAACAAGTTTCATGTAACACAAGCTGGCTTGTGTTTGCATTACATGGGACCACAACAAAAAAGCTGTATATCCTAAGTATCAAAATTCTTCGAGAACAATGGTGCGCTTACTGCTTTTATGTAATCTCTCATGAAATCAAACGACGATATATTAGCAGTATCTGATGCTGGAGTCTAGCTAGTAAAACCTATATGAACAATAAGAATGTATTGAACACAAGCCAAATTTGGTGTCCCATCCACCAAGAGTTTGGAGTACTCAGGATGGTAGTATTGCTACTATTTGTCAGCCTCAAAGTTTTGCAGTTATGGAAGCTGCAGCCATTACAAGAATGCTGACACAAACATAATGCACTTGCATGATGAACTGGAAATGAAGCCAGTCCTGAACAAGGTTCAAAGTATCGGCCAAGTCGTATCTGCCTCGGCAGGCGTTGATCCGATAACGATACACAATACAAGACTATCACGAGTCTATCATGAATCGGTTCTGAATCGGGCCAACTCGGAAAAACTCAGACAAACTCAGCCGATTCACTTTCGAATCGAACTAATATGCACAGAATTGTCCAAGCAACAAAGAAAATGTCAAAAAAAAAGCAAAAAAGATGAGAAATTAAACCCTAAATTAGACCTCCTTTCCCATAATAAAAATAAAACAAGAAAGTTAGAATAAAATTGAACACAAACCTGAAAATTTATGGTAAATCTCCCTAATCAGAGACCCAATATCATCGATTAACATCGCAGATCGGACTTTCCTTCTTCTTCGCGATTCTTACTTTCCATCTTCTTCAAAGTTCATCGATCAACATCACAGACCCTAGGCTGTTGGACGATCGGATTACTCGATAGCAGAAGAACCAGTCTTCCCGATGAGTCCCGAGTAGCAGAGACCCATTGTCTCTGTGCTTTGTCTCTCTCCCTCTCTCTCTCTGTTCTCTATGTTCGTCGAAGTTGAGAGTTGAAGACCGAAGAGTGAGGCTTTGGGTCACATGAGGCTTTGGCTTTATCAAACCCAAAAATTTATTTCCTACCCCTTTTTTTTTGTTTTTTCGGTTTTGCCCCAATTTTTTTAATTATATAATTTTTAGTATTTTTCATATAAACTACTTAGAACTTAACTCCTTAAGTTTGTTTTGTATATATATATTGATGATTTAATAATTAAATGTACATAATGGAGAAAATACATATAATCATCATACATAAAATACATATACATATAATCGATCTAATTAGACACATGATAAATAATTAAATGAAGATTTTTTTTATAAATAGATTTTCATTTTTAAAGCTATTAAGTTAACCATATATATACATTTATAATTTTTAAAAATTACAAATTAAATTTTATTAACCTTGAATATAGATGATAATAAATATTTTCCGGTAGCATCCTTATTATTCTTTTTTGCAATGATTAATATGTTAAATAATGTCTTTTAGGGATATGATGCATTGATGATGATATTTACATTTATTACAATTTTTTCAATTTTTTTTGAGCCTTCTACATAGTGTTTTGAGCGTATCGGCCGATACTGCGCCGCAACGTCGCGACCGATGTGTCTCAGTGACCTCCGAGTCAATGGCCGATACCGCGACTTTGAACCATGGTCCTGAATCAGTACAATCATAGAAATGAACGAACCAGCATGCTGAACGGGAATGTCAGTCTTCAATCCACATACAACAATTATGACAAGTGCTCTATCCCAAGTATAAAAAAATGAAATGGTGAAAGGTTTAGTGCAACAAACCTCTTTCAATTCTGTGCCTGCAAGAGGTTCCCCTTCCATGTCACAAGGTTGATAACTCATTGACTCATTCCATTTTCCAGTCATCAATATCTTAGGTTCCTCGGCTGCATTATACACGTAGCCATCCACTTCATATCGACCAGCTCTGCAACCAAAAAAATTATCAGACCTTGGTAGCAGGTAGGAAGTCTATGCAAGTCTGCATGCATGACAGCACCCCCACAAACTCTGAACTTTTGAAAAACTAAGCCTCAATTTAAATTAGAACTACTGGAATAAAATCATTGAATGCAGCAAAGCAGCAATCAATTCACAGGGAGCATCTCAAAGAAATAGTATCTTCAAAATCATTAAGAAAACTGCAACAACATGAAACCAGAATGGAGCTAACAAAGTCATAGATTCAAAAACTTCATCCAATATGGTACAAAGTTAAAATGTTTCACACAACCAAAAAGATTACCATTCAAAGGGCCATAGGCTATAGGAAAAGTTCAAAGGAAAAAAAACTGAAAGGATACAACAGCTTACCCAAACCAGCCGCATGGTTGGAAATAGAGCACAGCTTTGTCCCCAGTAATCAAATTTGTCATAACCATCTCCCCAGGTGAATCTACCCAAGTTCTTCCAAAAATCAAATTGTTAACCTTTGTAGGAGGTGGAACCAAATCCAAGACCACACCATCTCGTTTAAGAGTTACACGTGTTCTGCACACAAACATAAATTTGTGATTAACATTATTATAAATCGTGATACGTAAAAGATTGAATATAGAAATGGAATAGAGGCAAATAGCAAACCATTATTGTTCATACAATCTTTTGATGTATAACATATAGATCCAAACAAATCAGATTGTCATTCTTTTGGCAGATGTAATCCATGTGAACTCTACCATAGAATGTACCTTCAATGATAGAAGATAACCACCAAATGCTCTCAATTAATAATTGGAGGGAGCTAAAAACCACACACACACAAACAGATACAGAATGACAATAATCTTACAAAGCTGTTGAACTCCGCCAACCTTTAATGACATACTAAAGATGTTAACAGTCAATGAACAACCGAAGAAAAAAACTGACCTTCCAACAGGATAGACATCCAGGGAGTTTCCCAAAAATTTAGTCTTCAACTTTGAGGTCACGTCATATGTAAAATGTTCATTTTCAGCATGTCCAGCACTCATTGGAGGATGATGACTCACCTGTATTGGGATATCAACGTGAAGCATTCAAATTAACAAATAAGAAAATTGCAAAAGCATCCAATTAGGAGGGAGCAATGTTAAGTCTATATTTGGAAAGTTTTGGGAATATCTTAAAAGTTGGATTTCCTTAATGGTTTTAGCTTGGTTGTGTATCTCCCCATGAAAATGTGGCCTCAGATTAGCTTAACAGATAGAATTTGATAGCAGGGGGTCCAGAGGAGGATAAAATAGACATGAAGCAGGAATTTCAGATCCTTAACATACCTGTTCTGAAATGAATGTAATCCCATTATGGTTGACCATTTCATAAGTCTCACCAAGGATGGGGTTAAAAGGCTTCCAGGTGCGTTGGTAGGCATAGTAGACAGAGATAGCCCATGATGCTGCAGAATATTAAAAAATTAAATTAAATATTCAAATGATAATTTGCATGATTAAGCTATCTCATGAATATCAGGTTCCAGACGTGCTCACAAGCAAATACCAATTGCATGTAGGGATCTTCACACTCGTCTGCCTGATCTAGAAGGTGGGAGTATTCCATCAACTGTGACAAGAATTGCACAATTTGCATCATATGGGCCATAAACAGCAAGTATAACATAAGTGATACAGTATGTGAAGAAAATGGGTCAAACCTCTGCCATTTTTTGAAGCATTGTCATTGGCTCAAATATAAGGACAGGAAGTGTCACCATTGATGTTACATCAGACCCTACATACTCCCGCATCATCTTCCAGTAACTGTCTCTATCCTTTAAAAAAGCCATAAATCTCTCAGCATGCATAATAAGATTTTACTTCTCAAGGTAAGCCCAACATGAAAATCAAAAAGGTCTTCTGTGGTCTGTGCAGAACGAGAACTCAAGTAAAGATATGTGCAGATATGTGACATGTACCTGCTTTCAGTTTGAGACACAACTCGGTATATATTTGATATGTACAGGATTTTCCTGTACAATGACCTTAAAGGCTCAGTTAATGAACCCATATTTTTGCCTGCAGGCTACCCAATATTCAAAATTTATAACATAGTTTCATTCTAGGAAAATAAAGCTTAGTTGATTAGTATCGGATAATGCATTAGTTTGGTAGGTAAAATAAGTCATTTATATTGGATGGATTGATAAATGTATTGATTTATTTAAGATTTGATGTTATGTAAGTAATGGAAGGAGTGTTTGTTGTACAGGTAATTGATCCAAATTGGAGCAATAATGGTGGGTGTAGAGTGGAAGCTGAAGATGAAGTTACTGGAACACACGTCCGGACAGGGATTTCTATTGCGTCTGAATGGGATTTCTAGAATGGGAAGGCAAAGGTTTTGAAGGATTGGTGTTCACTGTCAAATGGAGCCGAACGGTTGATCCATTGCGTCCGAACGCGTGCTATTAAAGGGGTGAGGACTCTGAAAGAGGAATTAGATTTTGATTAGTCTTCTATGGGGAGAAAAAATATAAGGAGGAAGTAATTGTTATAGATTCTTCTTGAATTTTCATTATTTTTTATTCTAGTTGAATTTTATTATGTCTGACTTAAGCTTAGGGAAAACCTTTCAATGAAGTACGGTATTTTCATTGACTTAATGGTTTAATGATTTGTGATATTTTGTTAATTCAACTTTTAATTTTATTAGTAAAGTTTTTGCTCTGTAAAGATTTTTGAATTGTTGTATCTTATACATTGATTACTTGAATTCCCATGCGAGACAAATAACTAGTTATTCGTTACTTAAGTTGATTACAATTGCTTCGCATAATAATATAACCAGAGGAATGTGTGGTTAGGTCAAGAATTGGTTTGTTAAGAAAGTTTGATTTTTGTAGACTACAGCTGTGGCAAATGCTTACAATCGGTAAACAATTCTTTGATTTTTTTGAATAAACTTTTGGATATAAAAAGTGATATTTTCGTATTCTTATTGCTATATTTTCCAACTGGGGTCAATTGACAATTTGACTCTTGTTTGAGTTTGGAAACTAAATCATTAATAACTACCGTAGGGATTTGAGAGGTTGTCCCCGATGCTTTAGTATTTTACGTATTATTTTAAGCAACTTATTCTAATTTTATCAATTAAAACACTCTTTTCGAGAAAATTATTCATAAGTTTGTTAATTGATTTAATTTGGCGACTGTTGTTTTCACAATTTCTTGAGAGTTCGACCTCGGCTTTCCGAGTATGTATTACTTTGCACAACCAGCATTTGAGTTTACATTCTTAAAGTTGTAGCACTAGTCTCACACCATAAGTCTTAACAAGGTGCTACATTCCTAGTTCTTTTATTTCTCTTCGTAAAACAAGTATACTATGTTTTCATATTCTGATAGTAGGTTTTCACATACAATATGAGGCGATAAAGGACATCTAAGAATGTGACTGTCACTAAGGTAGTGGAAAAGTACCCAAATCTAAGACGGGTACAAAGTATACGTTTCAACGAACCCCAAAACATGGCTTGTGGCACATGCTAATCAATATCTCCCATGTTCAAAGGAGAGAAACACAACAACAAAACGCTGAGTATTTGAACCGATGGACCAAGTAACTTACTTGTGCTCATGGAGCACGCTATAAGCATTATTATTAGTCACTCATCCTAGATAAAATGGGATTTTTGTATTCAATTTTTACAACATAACAAACCAATGAGCAGTTCTAAGGAAGCATCAGCTTTAGGTACATCGGTACATTCAAGAGGAACACCAGCTTTCAGATCCAATTTCAAATGTAAAAGAGATGTTGTATTATCAAAGGACAACCCACCTCCTGCTTCCATCTTCCTCTTTGAGCTTCCTCCTCTGCATCTTCTTTGCCTCCTTCTGGATTTATAATTTCCATTCCTTCATAACCAAGCAATCTAGAGGCAGGAAAAAAAATAAAAAGTAGATCATTAGAAATAAAACCTTCAACAACTGACATAAGTTTCCTGATAACCAATATTGAAGATCAAAACTAAGAAGTTCATTGTTATATGGGACCAAGCAAAAGATATGAACCTAAGATACTACAACTAACAGTAGCATGTTTGATGTTTATCAAACAATACTAAATTCCACAGCACTGGTTGGACTTCCAGAATGCATCTGTCATATAATTGATCTTCTATGAGACTACGGGAGATAAAAGCTGATATACATGGTAAGGAGACGAGTTTCATATCACAAGGTTTACAATGAGAAAGGTAAGCAGATTACTATTTGCACACATAAGCCCTTCATAGATCAGGTAAAATAAGTGACAACTATATATGCCCATCTTGAATGGATCTTGAAGATTCGCTCAAAGAGATAAACAAATAAACATGGCAGATCTTCATGAAACTCCAAGCCAACCTATCTGAGAAGTTCAGATAGAATTGAGGAATCTATTTAACTAAATTAGAAGCTGTCTGATAAGTGGTGACATGATAACTTCCCCATATTGAAGCACCCTCAACAACCAATATGGAAAAAGGCCACTATATTTCAAGCCAACTTGTTAATTACAGTCTTAGCATACCGCATATTTGTAGTCCATACAACATTGTGCCAACCCAATACGGTAGACTTCACCATTACATATCCGAGGGATCAAATAAGTTACTCTAGTTGCACTACCGTAATTGAAGATGGAGTCTAGATTCAACGGTTACGACTTATCTAGCGTCACAATTATCAACCCAGAAGGCAAAGCCAACATATCACAGCGATCAAACTGGAGAGGAGATTAGGCGACCGCTGACCAGGACCGCAATACCAAAAAACAAAAAAGCAAAAAAAAAGGAAGTTAAAAAGACACAAGCGTACCCGTTTACAGATGTATGCATGGCGTTGCCGAACATAGAAGTCATCGCCGCAAAAAAACCCTTGCTCTGGTTTTTCTCGGTACTATCCATCTCTCCTGAACCCTAATTCGATCCTCCCCTATCACAGATCAATGGAATTTATGTATTTGGATCTTCAAAATTATGACAGTTTGGTAAAACTAAACTTATTTTACTGCGCCCAAAGTGCATGGTAAAATATTAGTTTCAAACGTAAAGGGGTCTTTCGTATCCTAGTTGTAGAGTATTGAAAGACAATGGTCTCAAAACTAATATTTAATGTATATGGTATGAGGCGAGATTTTAGTTTTAACTCTAATGTAGGTGTAATACTATTTTTTATAGATAATTGTGTAGTATTAAAATGCCTAAAATACGCAGTAAGACATTAGTGTCGGCTTTAATATAAATGTTGTAGAATTTTTTACAATAATTAGGTGACACTGAGAGGGAATGAACCTAAGTAATAAGTGAGGTGATTTATCGATTTTATGTACCGAAAAAAATCATTGGAGGCAATTGGCTAAAGTAGAATTGAATGGTAAATGTACTTCCATTTATATAATGGAAAGCCGGCAACATCACGTGCAGTCAAACACATACAGAATCAAAACATTTGATGAATCTTTTCCTTCCTAGCACCCAATCGATTTAGATCTACAGCGCAGCTAGTTCAATTAATTAATTTATATATATATATATATATATATATATATATATATATATATATATATATATATATATATTTTAAAAGTGAAGTGTGTGTAAATTAATTTATTTAAATTTAAACTAATTCAAATTTAATTTATAATTTATTCATATTATCATTTTAATAATTGATATGGGTAATACTATATATACTTAAAAATTATATTTAAAAAATAAATTTGATAATTATAATCATTAAATAAATAATATATCTCATTAAATACTAAGACGGGCGGTGATTTTGATTATAAAGTTTATCAAGCAATTGATATTCCCAGTAGGGCACTATTTTCATTACAGTTAATTGTCCAGCCACGTTTCCTTGTTCTCTCTCTCTCTCTCTCTCTCTCTCCCTCCGAGCTTTGTCCACATAAAAACCCTTACACAATTTCTCTCTTTCGCTCCCGGTTGTTGTCTACTTCAAAACCCTAACTGGCTTTGATAGTATCGAGTTCGTAAAAATTCAGATTAATTGTAGTATACGTCTGTTATTGTGAATATTCGTAGATTTTCAAATATGAAAGAGAGAAAAACAGTGAAGATCAATCTTCAACAGCAAGAGAAACAACCACAATTGCATCAGAACGGTCACTTGTCTCCGTTCAAGTTCGCCAAATTGTTCGATCCGGAGGCTTCTTGGGACAAGGTTTGACGTTTGAATCCTTATTGTTGATTCAGTCATAGTTTTAATTTGTATGTGAGATATATCTGTTGTTCCAAAAAAAAAAATGTGAGATTTATCTAATTCGATCCAACAAGTAGTGCATGCTGATATGTTGCTATTGCAGTATAACATGGTGTCGGAAATTTGCAAATTCAGAGAGAATTTATAACATGGTGTAGGAATGAGGGAATTTATAAGATTCACTCTCTCTTTCTCTCTATGCAAAACTTGAGGGGTTACTGTGATTTTTTGCTCCAATTTTCCTTATAAGTTTTATTTTTGTTAGAAAAAGAAATTTCTCAGGGTTGCAACTACAGACCATGTTCGATAACTATATTGATTGCCTAAATAACCTTAAGTTTTGGAACCTCATAGAGCATAACGAGTTTTATTACATCTCCTCATTAATCTCAGTTAACTTAATGTAAGCCTGAAGTTAATTCTATATCTGATTAAACAATTCTTTAACGAGCTCTATGTGAAATTCCAGTTTTGTGCCGTTTCTTCATATTATGCTCTGCATAAACTCTATTATATTGAGGAATATTTAATGATGGTTACAACAGTGACAGCAATACAATGTAGTTTTCTCTTCGTCTATTGGGTCCTTTTTAAATTTGGAATTTTTGGGAAGAGAGAGGGAGGAGATAATGATGGAGTAAAGTTCTTAATTAGTGAAATGAGAGCATATACTCGAGACATCTTCATTGAATTCTATTTACGAGGGTAATATGTGATCATGCATGTCTTTAATTGCTTAACATGGATGGTGCAATTAATGTTGCAATTTGGATAGTTCTGGAGACAACTTGTGTTGTCCAGACTCCAGTGTATCATGCTTCGTAGTAAGGGCAGGAAAGTTTTGTTGCCACAGTACCCGTTTATAGAAATCTGGATATCTTGTTTCATGATTATGATGGAAGATTGCTTCTTGAGTTTGTTTGCAATGTAAACTTGGTTATCGATTGTTGCACTGCTTTTTCCTTGCAGGATCAATTGGGAGATGTACTCCATTGGATCCGACAAGTGGTGGCCCTTGTATGTGGGTTACTATGGGGTGCCATTCCTTTGGTTGGGGGCATCTGGATTGTTGTGTAAGTTGATGCTTGTGATACCTTTTCTGGTCATAGTCATTAATGTAAATGATGATTTGTCATTTCTATGAGGGAAAATTTTATTGTATGGTGTCGAGGTGTTTAGGTGATATTAATGATGTGTGGAGCTATGATTTATAGACACGACCATATGTGCTTCATTATGTTTATCTGGGGATTTGGCTTGGCAGTTGGAGCCATGGCAAGTGAAGGCGTGATGGTATCATAATAGGATGAGAATCTGTGTTCTGCAGGGCATGTGGTATGCTTGGGCTGTTTTCAGTAATGATCATATGCTCTAAGTGAATGTCCTAGCCTTATGCCATGTGGCCTGGCCCTTATAACATACTAGACTAATCATACTTTATTCTTAACAAGTGCAGTAATACATTGCATACAGTGCAATGGACAGAGAAAGGCAGGGCCTGGTAACCTCTCTCCCTTTCCTGACCTTTGAGCTATAGTGTAGTCCCTTTGGGCATTAGACTGCCCTTCCTTTATTATGTTCACCAGACTGCCTTATTTCTTGACCGATTCACTCTCCACTCTTCAATCATCCAACCATTAACTGATGCATGATTACCTCCCTGCACTAACCTGAAGTCCTACCCCTAGATTTTATGATGATACCAGTTGAATGATAAGCAGAATTAGGATTTATCCACATCAGTTGCACAATTTATTCTTGTTAAGCTTAGTTGCAGGATTAGTATAGAGATGGACATGTTAGATCTCTCCATCTTATTGGCACTAGTGGGCCTTGCACATGGCACCCATGTGAGTGATTGAAAAGGAGTGAAATAGAAAGAGGCTGAGAGAAATATGAGAGTGAGAAGAGATGAAAAAAAGAGGATACATTATATAGGCGGTTGAGTGCAGTTGGATAGAAATATGGGTGGTTAAGTGGTTATGGGTGATTTAAATGGATAGAGAATAAGGGTACTACAGATATTTCTGATGTGAACACCAAGTCCCTCCTCTCCCTTTGTAAGAGTATAGATTGGCATGTTATTTCTTCAAAGACAATGATATGTGTCCTGTTAACGTATGAAGATCATTCTTAAAGTGGCAACAACCTTTCATTTAGATAAGACGGCTAAAGATTGTAACAAAGTATAAAGATTAGTGCCTTCTGTGAGCACCATGTCAGCCTCTTGAGATATCAGTGTCTGATCAAAATGTATCAATGACACTCATTCTTCTTGTTTTTTTTTTCTTCTTTCTTTTAGTTACTTTTCCAGGATGATTAAATTCTTTCCATTTTTTGGGATTATGCGGCCATAGTGTTCCTTTTCCCCTCTTTTAATATGAAGTATAGTTGGTTTGCAAGAGTCATGGAGAGGAGAAGGTTGGTATTATCTCATTCACACCTTTTACATAAATTTTGGAGTTTTATATGTTAGATTCAGGAAGCTGTGTATAAACATCTGCATACTAAAGCCATTACCTAGAGGATTATTGAGTGGGATCACCTGGACTATGTGATGTAATGTCTTAAGACAATCTTTAGCGATTCTAGAAGTTATGATGGCTATAACGTATTCCTTATAACGAGAAACAGTGTTTTTTTGCAACCAACTACACAGCGTAAAGGTGCATGATCTCTTTCAAATGTTCGTTACCGTGTCAGCAGATTTTCCATATGAGAATGTGTGCTGGTTAGAGATAAACGATGGTGGCCCATATATTTTGTCATTAGTTTGTGTTACTTATCTTTTGCTTTTATGTTGAAGTCAGCACGGTCACTTTTGGTTGCTGATTTTGGTTTTCAGGTTCCTGCTGATATCCTCTGGGATCATTTATGGTTATTACTCTATAATATTAAAGATTGATGAAGAAGATTTTGGCGGTCATGGAGCTCTCCTCCAAGAGGGGCTTTTTGCTTCTATAACACTTTTTCTGGTATTTTGCCATACTTTCTTTTACACATATAGGGGTTGATTAGAGTGGTCTTTACCGGTGTAGTAATTTACAAACTTTTCTGTTTGTTCAGCTTGCGTGGATTCTAGTATACAGCTTGGGACACTTCTGATTGGCTAGGTATTTGAATTGGCTCTCTCTCTCTCTCTCTGTATGAGGCTTAACATCAGTGGCCAATTTCTGCCAAAAAAACTTCAGTAGCCCTGCAAACATCGAGAAAGTCCCATTTTTTTTATTGAACTTTTCTGTCATTTTCTTGCTTGTGCAATACCAGTTTCGGTATATGGATGTACTAGCTTTCAGATCATGTTTAAGAGTTGCTGTGATGGCAATTTATTTACCACCATCCTGTGCAATGTGGCAGACAATGGTTTGTATACCATACACACAATCAAAATCCTCACTAACCATTGGGTTCAGGATTTGATACTTCCAGAAATAAGCTACATATGAGAAATTCTATGAATAGCTGTCTGTTTTGCATGAGTTTCTGGTCTTATTTTTTGACTTTCCCACCTTGCCTAGTTGACTATTAATGGGATTGGTCAAGCGGAGCTGTAGTTCTGGCTTCCAGTATCCAATGGATTAACTCCTCTGTTGCATCTCATCCCTGTGATGAACTAATGCCATCCCAGTGATGCACTATGCCCTTTCTTGATATTGTTCTGTTTATGTGAAATGTTGAA